CACCTCATATAATTAGCAGATGCATGCTTGAGTCAGCGCCGCTTCTCTTGTCCATAAGGCGCTGCAACGAGATCTGCATCACCATTTGCCTTTCACTATCTGCCAATCGGCAAAAAGGCAACACTGTCGGATCAAAGCAAAAATTATCTCTTGAAAATGAAAATTTTTAAATTTTTTTTACCTCCACGTGCGTAACCCCTGCGCCTTTGGCGAGTGACGCACTTACCTCTGCAGGGGTCGATTTACTCGAACGTTGAGAGTAAAAAGTGCACATTGGCACGGCTTGCTGATTTTGCTGCATGCGAGACGGTGTGTTAATAATAAATGGCTGCTTGAGCACAAAGAAAGAGGCAGGCATAGAGAGACACGTGCTGTTTGCAGCGAATTATTCGGTTTGCGAAAATATGCATGTTTGTTTTGCAAAGTAGCTGTTCGAGATATACCAAAACGAGATTTCCGCTGCGAATGTTTCTTGGAATGATGAATTTATTTTAAATGAGAACTTAAATTTTCAAAACTAGATAAATTTTACAATTTTTTTTTTTTTTTTAATTTCAGTTTGATCGCTGCTCAGCAATTTGAGAATCTTGTTTCAGTTAACGAAAATTGGCTTAATTAAGCAACTATTCCTGATCACAAAAAGGTCTTCTCTTCTTTCCTCGTGCAATTTTCCCGCTTCCGAGAATCGCCTCGTTTTATTCCATATTCATTTCACATAACGCGTAGTTTATTTTTATTGTAAATATTCTTCTCTTCCTGCGCGAAAATTGGATGCAACCGTCTGGTGAAAAAACGCGTTCACCACCGACTTGCCTCACAAGAATCTTGAAAAGTTCGCCGAGCGTGAAATTTCATTTTCACGGAGATCCGCGGCGCTGGAAAAAAACCAAAAGCGACGGCGTTCCATAGTCGAGTGAGTGAGTAGGTAGGTTACTAAACATGACCTAGTAATCATTACATCACGACTTATCATGAGGCATTAGGAAACCTTTCGTTTTTGTGTGCAGCGCCGAGTGCGCGCGCGCTCGCCTATTTTGCTATTAGACGCCTGCAATTACGACCTGACATTTCCACGCGCGCGGGATTATTTTATTTCCAGTCTGCAGCAGGACGGAAAACGAAAGGGCAGAATTGACTGCACGCAAGGACGAGTCGGGATTAATTCACTTTCCACTTGTTGGTGCAACGAAACAAGGCAGATGGGCCGATGGTGTTTTTTTTCTTCGCTATATATTTTTAAATCCTATGGCCACTTGTTTGACTTGCTTACATTTGATTCGTGCTGCTGAATAAAACAACAATCGCTGCAAAGTCACCCTTTCCAGAGCGCACGTGTTGGCATATAATTGTGTTTTGTTCGCTGCACCGGCCCAGAAAGAAAACTGAACCGGAGAAAGAAACAAAGCGATTGTTTCGCGCAGCCTGACTGCAATCGAGCGATTAAAAAAAATCAATTGCCAAATGCAGCCACAAATCATGCAAATTTCTCAGCGTGACGGCAAGATTGTTTATCGCCCGAATCAATCAACATGAGCGAAATGTCTGTGAAAAACAAGCACGCCTGACAAAAACACGACGTAAAGGGCAAAATGATTTTCTGCTGCGTATATACAAAAGCAATCACGCTGCAAAATGGAATTCCAAGTTTGTAAAAAAAAAAAAAATTGCATTGTTGAGGAAACAGCTCGGTTTTCCTGCCAGATCCGAATCTGTATGTTATTGCGGTCTTGAACAATTTCGCAGTGGTGGGGACTCAATTCTTTCCGCTGGCTGCACTCGCAAACGATTCACTTACGCGAGAGACACGCCGCACTCGATCAGCGTCACCGTGCACTCGAGTGCTGCACAAAACGAAGGGACATTCAATCCCTGCATTTCGCCCTGCCGGCCACACAGCGGGCCAAATGTGGAGCGGCAACAGGTGGTCGATGGGTGGATGTGCCAAGTCGCGATCTTTTGCGTGCCGAAACTGGCCGAAACCAAACAGAGTCGGATTTCGCACTTATCAACTGACCACATTCAAAATGAAAATTTGCCACGATTAAAAAAAAAAATAAAAAAAAAATAAAAATAAAATGAAAAATTTTGTAGAAAATTTAATCTTAATTATAGTTTTTGTATTTACATTTTTCAGTCACATCAAGTATTCTTTTATCAAGGTTTGATTTTTTTGTTAAAAATACGGAGGAAATTAAAAATAATTATAACAACTTTCTTTCTTTCTTTATCAAATTTAATTGTTTTAGTCTGGTGAATGAAGGGACTTTCCCAGTGTCAAAATTAAAATTATCAGTATAAATTTATCAAAAAGTCCTTCGTTTCTGGCACAACAAAGCAGTTGACCTAAAACAGGCACCGGCGCATCCCGATGCAAATTTATATCAGCGCGCCGAGTGGACGGTTGGATGGAGATGTGTTGATGGTCGCGGTTTTACAAGCGGTGCCGTCGGCGCAATTTTACTTTCTCTTGCACGGTGCCCTTGAAAGGCTTGCGTAACTTCGCTCGCGAGCGCGCGCGCGTTTTTACTACGGCGGTGGCCTTTATAAATGCAGCGGCAAAAACGGCCAGATAGAGGAGCGATGTTGCCGAGGCACCCAAACACAACTCGCACAACCCGTGTCGTCTATGCCGCGCCGCAACATTTCCTATTTCCACGTTGGGCGTGCGAAAAAGAAGCACAAAAGCACCACGTCATGCACTCTTGAAAAGAAAAACTCAATTTGACTTGAGCGGCTTGATTGAGCATTCAAACGACGAATCTCATTAATGGAGAAACAAAAATCAATTATCATTTGAATTAAATACCAAAACCAGAGAAATATATTTGAGGATAAGTTTTTGTCTTGTAAAAAATCAATCGAGTAATTTTTTTTAATTACATTTCCAACAATTGCATGGTAACAATGTACTGTGTTAATGTGGACAAATAAACAACAATAATAATTTTTAAATACAAAATAAAACTTATTGAAATTATCTATTAATGAATATTTTTAAAATATGAAATTATAACTAATATTAAAAACTTCAATTTTCAAACGTTTAGAATTTTTAATTATGAGGAACGTTGTCAATTTTTTAAGAACAATTTAAATAATTCATCCCTTCACTTACAAAAATGGAGCCGAAAATTGAATGATAAATTATAATTTTTAATTGTCATTTTCAGTTGATAAATTCGCAGGAAAGTTAAAAATCCAAAGTTAATCAGTTTAATTTTTTGCTTCTAATTGTCATTCAGAGTTTAGTTATAGGTCAAGTGAACAGAACAAATTTATCTCGGCCAATGTGCTGTTTAATTCAGCATTTGCGCTATTCAATTCAAGGTCCCGCCGGTTTTCCATGCATTAACCAGCACCCTGCGCTGATTTACTAATTTATTTTCTGCGTAGGTCTCTAGCCAAAGCCAAAGGGATTTTTTTTCACTCCCTCCCTCCTTCCAGGTAGAGAATTTATAGCGCGCGAATCACGTTTTGTTAATTGCAGAGCTTCCCACTTGCAGAGTGCAAAAGTTAATAAAAAATAAACTGCGCATCCTTGAGTTTCCTCTCTTCTGCAACAAACTGCACTGCACGCGGTCTCATGCATTCATGATCTGCACTCTCCTTGGCGGCGGATGCTGAACCCTCGACGGCGAAATGCAGATTGTTTGTAAATTGGATTTTATTCAGGCGACGTGCAGATTAATTTATTTCATTTGCAAGTTGATGTTTTCTAATCTCGCGCGGCTGCTGCAAGGATAACATCCGAGGACGCGTGTTCAAAATGGGATTTGAGATCGAAACCGAGTTTTGCTTCCTTAACAAAGTTCAAGAGTTGGAATAGAAATGGAATTTTTCAAAGTACTGGAACAAGCTGGAAAAAGTCTGATCGTGAATCATTAATCATCGGAATAATTTTTCCTCGGGGGTTGTGGGAGCTCAATTGTAACCGCGGCCGTGGGAATGCAGTGGCGCATATAAAGTTTTTTACACACCGCGTGCACTCACATAATTCTAATGAACTGCATTGTGTGTTTCCCCGAGCTGATTAGCATTTTTTGTTTGGAGGGAAGGTAAAGGTGAATGATGGAAATTCCATTGAATGAGAATGTATTTTATGAAATTTAAATGAAAATTGGAAAAAATATCTATATTTTTGTTTTTGTCATTCAGAAATTCTTGCTACAAGAATAGACATTTTATTCAGAGATTTCTGTCAGCTTGACAAATTGGCGCAAAAAGTGCCACAATTTTTCAGCCTGGCCAAGCGGCGATAAAGCGCATGCATAATTTAGCTCGCGCACAAGAAGTGTCACTTTTACTTTCAGCGGCGAGTCTTGTTGGCTGAGTGATGCCTGCTGCGGGAATCCAGGTCAACGATATTTCATGTCGTTAGTAATACATCGAACGGCGCGTTAATTCAGCATTATTATGCAGCCGACGCGATAGATGTAGAACCGCAGGAGGATCTGGTTGCAGATCAGAAAAAATATAAATAAACGCGCTGATTAACTTTCATCGCACGCTGGAAAATTTACAAAATCCTCCAAACTGGGTCGGTTGACAACAATTTTATTTGGGGGAAAGTATGCAACCCGCTTTTCCACTGTGCAGTGCAGCATCGGCGCATTTTCCGCTTCGGAATGCGGATTTTGGGTCTGCTATGCGCCGACAGAGTAATTCCATAACATAGCTCGGCTCTTTTATTTGCACCAGGAAAGCGCAAACGGATGCTCAATTTGATAACAAAGTTATTTTATGCAAACAACAGACCTTGCAAATAAACTGGAGCAAATTAATTTTATAACCTAGAAAGGAAAAAATAGCAAAATTTCAATTTCAAAACCTTCATGAGATATCTCCGAATGGTTTCTTTAGAAAAAGAAAATATAATTTGGTTTAAAAGTTCCTACGATTTTTTTGTTTTAATTTCAAAATAAACGGCAATGTCATCTCTTTTATTTTGATTAATAAAGTGTAAATCTATAATTAATCAATTTTGATCATTGTTTTTTCAGCTGTGAGGGCGGACCGCATGCGCGGCGGGCGAAACAAATTTGGGCCCATGTACAAGAGGGACCGGGCCCGCAAGTTGCAGCTGCTGCGGCAGAGACAAATGACCGTCGGCGGCGTGGTCCGCGGCGGCACCCTGATGGCCGGGGGCAACGACTCGGGCCTCAGTTACTCGCCCAACGGAGGCTACTCGCCGGCGGCCGCCTCCTCGGCCATGCACATCAAGCAAGAGATCCAGATTCCGCAGGTGTCGTCGCTCACCTCGTCGCCCGACTCGTCGCCCAGCCCCATCGCTGCCCAGCTCATGGGCAACTCGGTACCCCAGATGATTGGCAGCTCCAACAACCTCCTCAACTCCGGCTCAGGTACGTCATGCCAAACTTTGCACCACATCAAAACTATCCTCGTTTCACTATTTGTGAAAAATTTAATTATAATTAAAAACAAAATGTGGTATTAAGCATGTTATTTTTTATATGGTGGGCAAAAAAAATATTTTTTTAAAATCAATTTCAATTTTGAATGAAACGTGTTTTTAAGGAGAGTTTAAAATTTTTATCTGGGCAATTTTTTATAAAATTGTTTACTTACCGAATTTCGCAAATTAATTTCTTCGTGCATGTTTTTCGAGTAATTCCTCCTAGTTTTTTTTTTCACAAACCACAGATATCCCAGTGATTGATGTTGCAATCCTTGCCCAAGCAGATTACTTGCTGAAAAAAGGTATTTAATCGACTGTTGAACTTTTGGACGTTCTCCGAGACAATTCCTTTCGTAAAATCACGTTTGCATTCACTTCTGTACAGTTAAGCCGTTAATCAGGGTTACAGACCGGCTTTCACGCCTCTTTTGATTCAGAAACAATATTGATGATTTTTATTTTCAAACGGAAATTTCCCTCTTTGTTTCTAACAGGGGCTTTCGCAAGCGCAGCCTCGACGGCCCCCTCCGGGTCGGCCGTGGCCCAGGCCCTCGGGCCCAAAATGTCGCCGCTCATCCGGGAATTCGTGCAAGGGGTGGACGACCGCGAGTGGCAGAGCTCGCTGTTCGGCCTGCTGCAGAACCAGACCTACAACCAGTGCGAGGTGGACCTGTTCGAACTGATGTGCAAGGTGCTGGACCAGAATTTGTTCTCGCAAGTCGACTGGGCGCGAAACTCCATCTTCTTCAAGGACCTGAAGGTATGTTTTGATTTCATTTCAAACAGAAAAGTCAGAACAAGCGAGAAGTTTTTATTTTTAACCGGCGTTGCCAAACGCAGACCTACCTCAATAATTTAGGGGCGCCTAAACAGGCCAAGCGACTTGGCAAAAACAAAATAAAGAATCGCAAACTTCAAATAATTTGAATATATGAAACGTAACATGATTAATTAAATTAATATGGAAACTTTTTTAAATTAAAAACATCGTTGCCATTTGAAGTTTATTATTTTGGTTATTTAAATTATTTAATTTCGCATTTTAAAAGACAAGTGAAATTTCGATTTGCTAAACGAAAGTCAAATTTCCCCAGCACGAGTCAAAAGTCGCGAGTGACGTCGTTCGCTTCTTGCCCTTGAAAATTGAATGTGATTGATGATTAAAGCAGCATTTGTTGTGGTGCCATTATTCGTCGGCCACTTCCTATTGCCGCGGCTGCCAACTTTATTTGGAGCTCGCGGCGGCCCCACACAAACGAGCGAAAATGATTCAGACACCTCTCGGATCCCACAATTGCGCGCAACATCCAAAATAACTGATTAACCCAAATACTTGTTGATCTTATGCAAAAATTCGGCTTCCCAACCAGGTCGCCGACTATTTCGGATATAGACTTTGCGAGACCCAATTCCAACTCACCTGTTGCGAAAACAATTAGCTCACTTACAATTAACTTATTCTGAAATAAGGATCCATTATTTTCCCTCTTATAAGAAGAATGAATTATTTAAAAATTTGCCAGACACCACTTGTTGAAGGATACGAAGATTGCGATAATTGAAATTCTCAGCGGCCCCTTTCATTTTCGACAGCTGGCACGCCTGGTGCCGGTTTTCGGTTAATCCTTTTCGGGCCACAGGTGGATAATTTATTAATAATTTAATTCCATTCCGCCTCCCGAAAGAAGTCGCGATACGCAATACTCGCTTGGGCCGTCGCTGAAAATATCGCGGCGCCACCTAGGGGCCTCTTCGCCAACGATGCAATTCAATGGTGCAAGTTTTATTGCGTTGTCGAAAACCACACAATAGCAGCATTTTTTTTACAACTTGAAAGGAAAACACTGGAGAGTGGAATAAAGCCTAAGATATAAATTTTGAATTAATCAAATTTTTTATTATGAATTATAATTTTTCTAGCTTACAGATGTTGAGCATTTGTCCCATATTTGAGATCTTTTAAATTAAATTAATTTTATTGGGAAACTATTTTCCTCTGCGTGTAAGTGCGCAAGTTAAAGTTTTTTTATTTTCACACGCAGAGTTACGTATTTATTTTCATTATTATGATGATTGCGGCCTATTGAAAGGGAGAGTTAGTTGTGTGTTGATAGTGTAAGCAGGTCACAGTAGGAGGGGGCCCTCGCGAATCGGTGCCAAGTTCAAGTCTGCACGCGGCAAGAGGAGGAGAAGGCACAGCAGCTATCGAAACAAACCAGTATTCGTGTCCCTCTCTCTCTCTCCTCTCCGCGGGCCGTAATAGTCGGAGCTCTTATTTTCATTACGTCACTGTTGACACGAGAACCAATATGGCTGTCCTTTTGGAGCACCAAAAACGGCGTGCGTGACAAATGCATTAAAAAAATAATAATAAATGCCTCGGCTTGTTTTCAACTAAACAAAGAAAAAAATTAAATTTTTTTTCTCCTTTTGAAATGTTATTTTTTTTTAAGTAGAGAAAAAGTGACGCTGCAAATAACCTATAAAATTTTATCTCCAAACAGAGATTTGGACAAAGGCCCGCATTGGGTAAGATTTGTTTATCTCTTGGCCAACGCAAATCCCCCTACGCGATCAAAACAGTGCGGTTTTTCACGCAAATCGGTTTTCGGAAAAGCGTTCGGTTGGGCAACGGATCGAGCTGCAGCAAAAAGGTGGCCAGTCATGCCTGCAGTCTAACCGTTGCTCCAGCCAGCGTGCTCGATTTCCATTCGAATTAGGAATTCTTTTGTTGTGTAACTGGTATGCCTGCCTATTCCTTGGCTGCTGCTCTCCATCCTGCCACCGAGCGAGCGGTGCAGCGCGAGACCTGAATATCAAGCAGCCCGCGTTTCAAACTGCTGCTGCGGGAGGTCCGACCATTGATTGCCGCAGATGGACAGTAATTAATGCCGTCGTGGAAAGCAAAACTTGCGACAATTGCGTGCAAAAATGCATTCAAACCAGATTTGGCGAAAATTGTTATTTTTAACTCGGACGAGATTCTTGATTTTCTCGATTGTAATTATTTTCATTTGATTTTTCACAGAAAAGAGGGTTAAATTTTTTAGATCTATTCCTAATTGATCAATTAAATTCTTCTTCTTTTAACACTGTTACGTAACAAAGTATTTCAAAATTATTACACATGAAAAGGATTTTTAAAAAAAATGATATTTTTGACAGTACTTTAAATAAATAATTACTATAAAAATAGCTTCAAATTCTCTAAAAAAAATTTGACTGAAAAAAATGTTTATATTTAATTAGAAAAATACACATATTTATCCAGCAGTTGGTTTGTTAACAAATTGAGTTAAATCTGAGTTTCAAAATTTCCTCTCTTTCAAATTAATGACAAAACACATTCAAGCCAGGTGCATCCAAATGAATTTTCCCATGGAAGCGTTCTGCGTGCGTACACCGAGTGCACCGTAGAAAATTGACTTGCTCGCTGCATTATTTACCAGATCCTCCCTGTTTAGTTTTTTTCCTGTCCGCGCGAGAACAAGTAAAATGGGCTGAGGTTTCGTGGTCGTTTTATCACAGAATATTCCCAGACTCGCTTTCTCTCTGGTGCTGCTGCTCTTCACGCAGCGATTACCGCACACAATGATTACGCGTTATTTCGTTGGATAACGAATGGAGAGAGAAAGAGAGGAAGAAAGATGGGCAGAATAAGAAAGCGCGGCGAGATCGTTTACCCGTGACTTTCACTGACATCGCAACCTTGACACTGACTGGCCCGCCCGATGGAGTAATATCATTATATCGAACTTATTCTTTCTCACACCGCGGGTCCTGCCGGAGAAAGTACCGACGAGCAATGCACTCGCTTTGTTTATCGTCTCGGCGCGTGTGCACCTCAAAATCGATCATTGCCCTCTTTCCTGGAAACCAAATGAAAGATGAAAACGTGTCTTGGAATTTTTCTTCTTTTTCTTTAAAAAAAAATATCAAATCTTTGTCGCTTAAAATGAATTTTTTTGTAAAACAATTAAATTTTCGTTACTTTTTTTTAAAATAGTCATTTTAATTTCAAGTCAGCTTTTCCTCGATGGGTTTTGTGAGTCATTTCATTTTTCCAAACAACATATCTACATGTTTTTGGCCATAATTCATGAGCTGCGAAATTATTTTGACAAGAACTAGTTCATTAAATAATTTTATAAAAAATTTCACAAATCACTAAATTTCTGAGGAAAATAATCATTTTTATTTACATTTTTTATCACAAAATTTTTTAATCTTTGTACAATTATTTAATTTTTATAATAATTTTCGTTAGAATGGTTGAGTGGCAGAAATCAACATGAAGAAATGCTGTTGAAGTCTCACTCAATTTATCTAACAGAGAGTTTCTGCATTCTTATGCAACCCGCTCGCTTTTCCATTCACTTTTCTGTGCATTTATTTTTGTATGAAAGCCTCTCTGGTTAATAAATGCGTATACCTTTTGTTTTGAAATAATTATCTCATTCCTTTTTTTTTTTTAAATTCGTCGGTGCGTAGCAAGTCTCCCCCGACCTGGAAAATGTGCCTTTTTACATTTTCCTTAATTGCGTCGTCGCTCCGTGGCTTGGTTTTAATTTTTATGCAGCATTCGCATGTGAGCGCGTTCACAATGCAGACAGGAAGTGCATGCTTTAGATCCGCTAAGTTTCCTGCGCGCAATCATTATCTGTACGAGCATTTGAGCCCGAGGAGAGGCAGCCCTATGAAAATTTCAAAAATTCATTTTGAAAAAAGCCGACGAAAATTACGGAGATATGAAATTTCTAAAAATAGTTCAAATCTGGCTATTTTTGTGTAATTGTTTTTCCACGAGAGCGGTTCCGGTGCGCGCGCTGGTTAGTCACTTTGTCGAGTTCGCCGCCTTAATGATGGGCAATAAACGTGAAAGTTGGGCAACAACATGCACCATGGCGCACTTAGCCTTGAGCCCGCTTCGTTAGTACTCGACGTGCACGTTCGACAATGCACCGGCCGGCGTTTTTCAATCTCGAGCGGCGCGCAGTGAATCGAAATAATAATGGATAAAAAAAATCCTGAGTTTGTTACCAACCGGTAAGGAGGAAGTCGGCCGTTTCACCGAGTCATGCCGAACAGAATGGGAAATTAATCGGCGTGCCCGGCTTGTTTTGAAGAGGTTTATTTACGACTTGTGGACAATTGGGTGGATTAGAAAATTCGGCCCCAAGGCCTCCGGCAACTCGCTTGAAATCGGTTTGATCTACATTTTGGACCAAAGATGATGGGAATCGAGATGACTCAGATATATTCTTCAACAGAACTCCACGTGTAGCATAAAAATAGAACTGGGGATAATTAAAATTGTACAACAAAAAATGTTTAATATTAGTTATATTTCAGAATTAAGTGAAATGCCAAAATTTTACAAATTAACTTTTCTAAATAAATAGGGAATTTAATATTAATTGTAATTATCAATCGGTTTTTTTATTCAAACTTGTAATTATTGTATTATATGGTTCAATTTCATTCAATTAATGAGAGCAGAGAGTGGTTGGTTTTGTTAAGTTAATGGTACGGTTTCTCTGATTCTCTCTCCCTTCACCCTTAATTGCCGCTCATCCCCCGTCGACTGACTGGCCGGCCTCCCGAGATAGCAGCAACAAGCAAGTGTGTTTCTGGGTCAAGGGGTGGCTGCACATGCTCGCGACGCAAGCGGGGGGGTCACTCTCAATAGCGGCCAGCAGGTGCTGCACCCCCCATGTTAGCTGATCAATAGAACACCCTGTACACGTGCAGCCCGTGCATAATTAATGTGCACCACTTTTGCCCGCGCTAATGATGAAAGGAAACCCCGTTTTGCTCTCAAAGAAAAGTATTTCGCGTTTGTATATAGCGGTGGAAAATTAATTCACCGTTATCTTTTAAAAGGGCCAAACCGATATTCAACTCTGGTCGGTGTAAAAATTCCAAGGAAAAAAATAATTGGTTTCATCTCTTTTTCCCTGTAAACGAATTTTGTTTGTAGCTTATAACAAAGTTAATTATTTAACTTAATTTTGATAAAACTTCTGGATGTTTTCTTTGCTTTTGGTGGGGCAAAACACTCAAAGGTGCGATTTTTTTTCTTTAAAATCTTAAAATAAAGTCTTTAAAATTGAATATTAATTTTCGTCCTCAGCCATTCAGAAAATTTTCACCTGAAATTTCCTCTTCTGAGAAGAGCAAATTTAATCTGCCTGCCCACACTTTAGTTATTTTTATGCTCGGGTTGCTGCAGGGTTAAAAAATATACCGCGGTTGAGAAAGATCTTTCTTCAAGTCGGATGCACTTTGCGAGGGTTGAACGAACGCAGATGCACATAAAACTTTGCGCTCACTTTTTTATTGGCGCCTTGACACAATTCGCTGCATCCAGGGGTGCACGTGGGAAAAAAAGGGCTCGCAGCATTTTTCCACCTCCTCAAATTCGCTCGCGTTTTCGTGGTTCTTTTGCGCGCCAGGTGACGTCACTTGGGCTCTTTGGCATTTCCTGAACGCGACTCGGCCTTGAGTCAGGTGGATCTATTTTTTTCCTCGGTCTCGGCCGCTGGCTAATTTCGTGTCTGCCGCCACTGGACCTCTTAAATTGCCGCCACTTGCTTGGTGAAACGCATGCCCGAATTTAAATAATTCTCAAAATTGAAGTTCTACGTCAGGAAATGGTGCACGGACGAGCGGTTTCTTTCATAACGTCTTGATTGCGGGCATCACTAATTATCAGACAGGCAGAGTCATTGGGCCGGCACAATTTCACACCTCGTCCTCCAAACCAAGGTCCACCCTCATTAAATATCACCACTCGCCGATTCGTCGGCTGATAGGCAGCAACCTCAATTCAAATGCGCGCAGATGGCACTTAATTAATTGAGGCTACACGCGTGTGAAACAATCGGCCTTATCAATATGCAAATTCATTGGGAAAATTTATGTATAATTTAAAAAATTATAAAAATTCATTTTGTTCTGACTTTTTAAATTTTGATTTTTCAATGAATATTTTTAAATTTTTACTAATATCATTCTATTTCCTATCAAAGGTGGACGACCAGATGAAGCTGCTGCAGCACTCCTGGTCAGACATGCTGGTGCTGGACCACATGCACCAACGCATGCACAACAACCTGCCGGACGAGACCACCCTGCCCAACGGACAAAAGTTCGACCTGCTGTGCCTCGGCCTGCTCGGAGTGCCCTCGCTGGCCGACGCCTTCGGAGAGCTCGCGGCTAAGTTGGCCGAACTCAAGTTTGACGTCAGTGACTATGTTTGTCTCAAGTTCCTGATGCTGCTCAACCCTGGTCAGAACCTCCTACGTAATTATGAACTTTATACCCTCTTTAAATTACTTTTTTTTTCAAACAAATTTTGATTTTTTGGGTAATTGCGAATTTTCTCTACAGCCGAAGTTCGAGGACTCGTAAACAGGACGACAGTGCAAGAGGGATACGAGCAAGTGCAGCAGGCCCTGCTCGACTACACAGTCACGTGCTACCCCCAGATACAGGTGTGTGCCGAGCCATTTCAACCTTTGCCTGCTTTGGCAACCCGCTTCAAACCCCTTGCAGTCGAAATTGACGTCATTTTGGTTTAGAAATTGGCATTTAAAATTTTCTGAGAAATTAGTTCCAGTCCAAAATAAACGACTGAAACTAATTGAAGTTGAAAATTGCATGGCTTTATTGGCAGGTGGTGGTTTTGCAATGCACTGCTTTTGCAACTAGTCTTTTTTTTTATATAAAATTGCATGAAAAAAATCTGTGTAGAAATAGAGATTTTTAGTTTCAGAAATTTGTTTATTGGGTTCAAAAACCCTGCTTCATTCTCTGTACAGAATATAAAAGATGCAACTGTTTGCAATTTTAGAATGGTCCAGAAAATGACAGATTTTTTTACAATTCTTATGGATTTTGTTTTTCTGGGCCATTCATTTTGTTTGTGCAAAGGTTTTGTGATTCATCACTTGTATCTCATGATTTTCTGTGCAGGTACTACACGTTAAGGCGGTTCGCAGGAAATTTTCTATGGATTCTGCCGAACGAAGGGCATGAAAAAATCTGCTCCGAATTAAGCAGTATCTAATAATATAAATTTCCTAAAAAAAAAAACCAAAACTCTTAATAAAAAATTTAAAACAAAATTTTGAATAAGTTTGCACTGTTTTTGGATTGATAGAAGTATAGCATTTAGAATTGAAACCAATTGGCCAAAATGCGTCTGAGGAAAGGTCCAAAGTCGTTTTAACAAAAATTAACTTTAAGAAAGCGAAACGATTTTTGCACCTTTTGTCGGACAAAGTAAAAAATGCTCCACAACCAAGTCGACGCCTCTCCGATTAACAAACCATGTTCTATTGACCCTGATGAGGTGAAATGTTTGCTTTCAGGACAAGTTCGTAAAACTCCTCAACCTGCTACCTGAAGTCCACGCCATCGCCAGCCGGGGCGAGGACCACCTGTACCAGAAGCACTGCACCGGGGGTGCGCCAACTCAGACTCTTCTCATGGAGATGCTGCACGCCAAGCGCAAATAACCCTCCTCCTCAGTTGGTCACAGTGTTGTTTGTGCAAAGAGATAGACTCGCCGTCCACTTGCATCACAGATGAACACAAACTGAGTCTGTTTTATTTTCAACTTCTATGAGAAAGGCCTCGTCTTCTTTCTTCGGAAGCACAATGTTTCGGTGAAACGAACTTCTATAGCTGATTTGTTAATTAGTTGGCATCACTAACTGCGGCTAAGAAATCACATACACACACATACACATTACAAGATGATTGTGACTCTTTTTAAATTGTTACAAAGATTACCATAGTTTCTATTGATGCGAAGAGTTCTATATTTTTGTCGTTTGTACTATTTAGTTTATGAGATGCAGCTTTTATTTGCCTAAGGTGTAAGAAATTAGTATTTTTAAACAATGTTGTGCGGTTGAATAATTACAAAACAATTTTGATGCCGGCTGCATCAAAAGCTAAGGATCAGAAGTGTAGTAAACAGAAAGAGAGTTACCGTGATTCTTGAAGAAAAAATACGGCTCTTTTGCGGGGCTGCGTTTTCGGTACTGCTTGTATTATTCGAGCGAGAAGATGTGCAATTTTACAAATCAGGGAGCAGATGATGAGAATTATAGTGATTTTAAATTTAATTATTCTTACTGCTACTATGGTGGTGGAGAAATTTTATTTTTCAACGAGGCAAGTGATTTGCGATCAGAGGAAAAGAAAATGGAGAATCTCAGTGAGACTTGCCTTTTGATAAATTGATTAATCCTTGTCAGAGTCAATGGAGGTTTCGATCCATGCTGCAAGAAGTATTCACACTTTTTTTTAATATGAGGCAAAGTCAATTTGTGTGTTGGGCCGGTCTTCGAAGTAGGCGCCTGAATTATTCATTAATTTTTTGCTTGGATTCCTGGAGGAAAAGATCCAACCAAGTTTTTTTTTCAATTTTTTTTTACTACCCTGGAAAAACTCACAAAGTGGCTGGTGATAATTTTTAGATATCCGACCGCCTACTTTGGAGACCACTTTTAACAGGAAAGGAGAATCGTTGAGGCTCCCATTTTTTTTGTCGAAAACAATACCAATCGACGAGAGAAAGTTGCTAGTTTTTAAATTTAAATGATATCGAAACAAAACAAGGGTCAGTTTGCACACACACATACACAACTAACCATTTTTATACAATTGCGTTAATTTAATTGCGTCGTGGATTCGTAGCGATTTATAAAAAGCTAGCTCTTAAGTTATTGTACCAGTAATGTAATGCCCATACATAATTTTTGTTTAACACACGTTTAGTTTAAACTACTGCAAACCACTACATCCTTGCTGCTTCGCTGTACATTAATTTATATAAATATTAATTTTAAGTTGTACATTTTCTTAAATATTTTAGTTTTAATAACGCGCGCGTGCTTCGAGTGAGAGAGAATTTTCTGCCCAGTGTTGCAAACATTCCATGATAAAGAATTTTCAAAAAAAAAGCAATTCAGCAAACACATTCCGTTCATTTTTTTAGAATTTTTGCTCTGAAAGTCCGAACCCACCTCATTTGCAACTTGTAAAGTGGAAAATATTGCGTATCAGCCTCTCTTTATGTTTTATGAACGAACAAAATTTTTAAAATCTTGGTCCGGTGGGAGGACTAAATATTAAGGGGTTTAAATGCGTTTCTCCTCTGAACGAAAGTAACACTGGCGAGGATGGAGTGGTTTTTACTCTTCAGTGCTTTTCTTGAGTGGTTTCAAAGCTTAATCCTCCCACAACATTCATCTTATTAATGAATTGTTACTGCAAAAGCTTAAATGGAAATGCTTTCACATACACACTTGTGCACTTTTTTGGAAGTAAACAAAAAACAAATAAAAACCACGAATAATTATTGAAATTCAATGTCCTTTAGTGGAGAGTATTGGATGTTAATTAAGTAAATTAAAAAATCTGCAATGTAAAAATTTTTCTTTTCCAAAAACCCACAAATTCATAACGACAATCGTTGGTGTTGATGAAAAGAAATTTTAACCAATCAAACAAAAATGTTCGATATTTTGGTCTAGCCGGAAGAGAAAAATTTTTAAACACACGTTTCCTAAAGGAAAATATTCATAAATATTTACAAATTGGCCTACTCAACCAACTCTGTTCTTAACAGTCCAAATAAATGTCTCGACTCTGTAAATTCTCTTGCAATGCTGTTAATTTATAATTGATATCCTTGAATGTTCACTGCCAATTTAGCTGAATTTGTTGATTTCCGCTTCTCCTTGTCGCAAGAATCTTTGCAGAAAAGTTGGTTTTGAGAACTCGAATGAAGCGTCCGGCAAACAGACTGTGATTTGGCGGCCGCAGCCCAGAATGAAATTAATTATTTAACTCAAGCAGGCCAGTGGAGTAGTCATTCCAGTACCTGATTAGGTTGAGATTGAAGCAGGAATATGCTAAATTTTTTCACAGTGCGACTCCGACTGGCCTCGGATCGAATCGGGAATCAAACAGGACTCGGCCGTCCTCGAATTAGGCTTCCAAAGTAATTAAATGATAATAAAACGGGTCCTTCCAGGAACAGGAGTTTCCAAATTGGAACAAAATCACACTCCTGCCCTGATCAAGAGGGCCCCACGATTGGCTAAGCGGACGCTGAAATTTGTTTCTTCTCAAAGCCAAATTGTTCCGCAATTCTCAGCAGTTCTCCTCACACTTGAACACAATACAAATTCACACAAATTAAATTTACAAAAATGATGTAAAAAAACACTCGCTGACTTATTGTTACCTCTGAACATAGAAGTAAAAATACATAAAATATATATTAAATAATTATGAATCGTTTGTGCTTGTAAATATGATATGAAAAAAAATATATATGTACGTTCAACTTGAGAAAGTTTTCAAGCAAAACAAAAAAAAAACAGAGGGAAACTACGGAAATTATTTTGTTCTTAACGCTGAAAACTATACTACTACTATAAGTCGCGAAAACGGAGAGTACACAGTATGATGAACAATTATTTTTTTAAAGCAAATTAAACACACACTCACACATACACAAAAAACACTGTTAATCTATTTCGGGGGCAAATGATGCGCTGTCGCACCCTTGCTGTGAGTGCGCGCGATTGCTGTTGGAATAATAAAATTTTGGCGTTGGGGTGTGAGTCGGCAGCATCGTTTGTCGTCCGTTCTGTATTAGGTGAGAAACGCGGGGAGAGATTTTATTGTATCGATTATGTCAACGTGGACACTACGGAAATATTTACGAAAATTGTTGTAATTCTGCAACTCAAAATAAACAGCAAACCACCTGTGCAAAATGTGTCAGTGGAGTTTAGGCATTAAAGCTATGATATAATACTTGTAGAAATAAATTGCATAAAAACAAAGAAAGCCTTTGTTACTTTCTTTTATTTCTCCTTTAGTAAATCTCAAGAATCACAATATAAATTTTTTTTTACAAAAATCAGAATAATATTAGAATTTTAAAAATTTATTGGATAATGTTTATATAATAAACTCTAGAAATGAAATAACATAGTTAATCTGTATTGAAAAAAATAATTATTTCAGATATCTATTAATTCTCATTACATAATTCAATATAATTGAGTAAAATTATTTAATTTTTAAATTTACTTAAAGCTTGATTTCGGCATCTTCAGAATTCAACAGTCATCGTCTCTGGCATAGTTTTCTTGGGCATTGTTGACATCGTCTTCAGCATCATTGTTGACATCGTCTTCAGCTTGTCTAACTAAGGAATACATTATATTATTTCAAAACTGATCAGTTATTCGACAAGAATCATGTATTAAACTTCATTTTTAAATTTATTCATTCTTACATTTTGCGCTTCTGTGTGGAAGTTGAGAGCTTAGAAGTGCTGCAACCAGCTGGAAACTTGCCCTTTTGAGTGGAAGTTGACGGCTTAACAGAAATTGAGCCTCTGTGACCTGCACTGCTTTTGCATGGACCTTGCAGTTTTTTTATCACTGCATTTAGCAGCAACATCTCAACCTGAAAAAATACATTTCAATGGTAAAATTCGAAAATTTGGTTTAAAAAACTCACATGAGGCCAGCTCGATTTTCAGCTGCAGGACATGCACCAAGGCAACCATGTCAATCGGAATGAGTTCATCATAGCCGAAGTCTCTGATGACACCATCGATTTCTTTTGGCAATTCGGGCAAATCCACTGCATCCCTCAAAAGACGGACATGATCTGCCTTAAGAAGTTTTTCATTGAGCTTGTTGATCATGGGCTCAACTTCTAAAATTTTTCAGGAATCAAATAATAAGTTTTAAGAACTATATTTTTGAACAGCATACCTTGGCGTTGGGAGTGCTTTATGTTCCTAAATGACAATAGCAGTAGATGATTTGGGTGCATGTAGGCCAATTTAGCTGCCTGGTTGTTGCACATGTTGACAAATGCCTCTTCAAACTTGACCAAGCCTTTGCCCATGCTCTCAATAGGGACATCAAATGTCTGTTTTCTTGCTCACACCTTGAGCAAAAAGACGATATATAAAAACAAATAATAAAACCTTGAATTATATATGAAATGCAGACGTCTCAGAAAATTTTCCTGCACCACCAGTTTATAATCCAACTTAATGACACCCCCTTGTTAACGATTTTATGCAAGTGAAGTTATTTCTTAACACTAAAAAAAAAAATTTGTACCTTCAACAGAGCCGCTGCGTACTGGCCCCTGCTCGTCGCAAGGCGAAAGTGGTGGTTAGAGCAAATGGCTCGCATTTGCTCGTTGGCTGAAAAAATTGCATTTATTAGGAATTAAGTGTAATACAAGTGTCTCCCAGCATTGAATCCCTTTCATTCATTCTTTAGAGAAGTGTTAATGAATGCATCAAAATATATAAAAGAAAATTTAAAACGTTGATTTATATGATTCTTATTTCCACTTACGGCAATCCACACTGATCTGAAGCCCTTGTTGATGAGCCAAGACAGCAAGTCTGGTCGACTTCAAAGTGGCTACTGTTTTGTCATCCACAGCTTCTACAATGTCAGCTGGGAGATCAGGCATGAAAAGTTTATCCTCCACTACATGGATGATGTCTGCATTTAGAAGAATCTCGGTCAGAGTTGATCTGATGCACCTATTAGATTGAAAATTTCAATGAGATCTACATATATTATGTTACTTGAATGTCATTTTTTCTAAATTTTATTTGTCTGCGGCTTAAAAAATATTAAATTGCCATTAAATTGCTAGGATTTTAAAAAAACTACGAGGGCAAAATGCATTACATTTTGGAGGTTTAAAAATTGTTTATCAACGCCACAGCGAGTTAATTATGCGTCGTAAATTATATTTGAATACCTGTTTTATTCATTCGTCAGCCCTTTGTTAGTATCAGACGGCGGATGCCTATGATTTAAGCAGATAAATAATTGTAGTCTTTCAGTTTTTCGACAGCATAATGGATAATGGACGGCGAGATGTGGGGCGTGGCAGTGAGCTTAAAACAAAACAATAACGAATTGCGCAGTCACTTTTATCACCGGTTTTTTATTCTTTCAACCGGTTAATATTAGGCGATGAACAGGATAATATTCTACACAATCTACACATTTTGAAACAGGGATAATCAAAATAATTATACTTTAAAATAAATTGATATTCAAAACACACTCAATCTTCATTTCTTAAAATGCAATTTCTCTTGACTAAATGATTTAATAAGTGTCACAATAGGTTAAAAGGTGATTGTGAAATTTCTACCGGTTTTATCCGTTGAAACGGTGAAAATATCGACAGTATAAATGCCGGCCGCCTGGAGATTTTCAAAATATAGCTTTTTGCACCTTGCAAGTGTTCCGAGGGCGGAATTAAAACGCGGTGTCCCTCTAGTTGCAATATCCTTGACTTTTTGGCTTTCGACGAATCTTGGGTGGCCGATAGGAACGGAGCGCTGTGATTGGCTGGAGTCGCCAGTGACGTGTTGCACACTCTAGGCGCTAAAACTTGAAACTTTGCTTAAACCACTTTTGACAAAATAATGCAATTATTGATAGATCTGGTTGTATGGTAACTGACAAGACAACTCACCAAAGCCACAACTTACATCATCAACAAAAACTTGCTTTTCTTCTGCCATCATCGATACACACCCTAACTCTCGAAATAAAGCTGCAGCATGTGTCGCATGGCAGCCCATAACTTTCAACAGCCTTTCCACAGTTTCCACCTGCCAAGCTTATTTATATTCTCCTCGCAAAATAAAAGAGCAAGAGCATGTCTACCTCGCTTTCATGCAAATTTTGAATTATTTAAATTAAAGGTAAAATTCCTAAATTAAGAAAAGAAAAAAAGATGGAGTAACTACACATCATGGTTTTTGACATTTCGACAAATTATTTAAACGACTTTTATGTGTGCATATCTTCAAGAAATCTAATTTTATTGAATTTTATGGTTATAGTTTTTTTTATCAAAATTGTTCATCACACAGAAATAGAAGATCCTTAAAAAATAATGTGTAAATGTATATAGCAGTATATACTACAAATAGGACTTGGAAAATAAGAGTATTCACAAAAAGCTAGAGTTTTTTTTTATTGATTATTTTCGAAATATAATTATTTTCAATTCCTATTCATTTGCCTGTTAAAAAAAATAAAATTTGTTCAAGTTTAAATAGGGGGAAAATATCCAAAACTATTGTCTCTCGTAGGTTCAATGATATGGCGCGACTGCGCGACAAAAAAAATTTCTTCACAATTAAGTGAATACTATTTTATTTTGAAGCCAAAAATTTTAATAATTATTAAAACTGCCATTAATACTGTCAAATGCCGCTATTAAGCTTTAGAATTTGGTAGACCCACCTGGTCGAGGTTGAAGTTGGGCATCGGCTTGACGTTGGGACAATAGTGGCACCCAAGCGGTACGTTTGTCCATGCACCAAGCCAAGCAAACCAAGCTTGAATTGTTATGAATTACAAGAATTAATTGAAAATTTAGAAATTAAATAAAACACGCAGCATAAAAATAAGTCAATTTTACTCTTTGGGGATTTGTATTGTGGTTTTTTTTATGGACAAAAAACTTAAATTAAAACTGATTAAAACAATAAAACTTTAAAAATGGAGAGAAGTTGACATTCTTTGATGAATGATCTAAAATAATATTTTACTCAACGCGTAAATTAGTATTTTAAAGGTTAATTCCTTGGCTATCATAATTATTATTAATGCAATTAATCGCACACGAAAAGAAAATTCTCATTTTATAGAGCTTCGCCTGATCTTGGAGATAATTTGTTGTGCGCGCGGTGCCTTGTGCATCAATTTTTACAACAGGCTCTTTTCGAAAGAAAGAGAATAAATTCCATAAAGCGCTCTCTGAACATCAAGGTAATAATGATGCTGCGCGGGTAATTACAGCAATAACAAGAGCTAGCGACTGATAAGAAACATATTCCTTTCCAAATCTACAGCTTTGGCTCGCATTAATTGTTGATCCACCGGCAACGATGACAGGACTCAAAAGATTCTACCATGCACTCACGCGCAGGTATTAAAAATGATTTTGCTTTTCATATTGTTTCCGCGTTAATTAATTGTTGCAAATTATAAATAGTTAGTTTAACATTTTCACACAGGGCAAATTTTTCAATACAGGGAGCAAGACCGAATAGGGAAAATATACAAAAGCAGTTATCTAAATATAAAAAGATAAAACACTATAAATTCAATGATATGCCATTAAAAGCACCTCATCAATTAATTTTACTCATTGTCAGTGATTTTGTACAAAATAAGCGTCTCTAACAGATTTCTATATCTATTTCTTTAGAAAAAATCTGCCTGAAAACATGCAGGCGCTGTTGGAAAACTCAAAGATGGCCAGGGTGTTGACCACGTTGGACCTGACGGCTCTCGGCGTCGGCAGCACCCTTGGCGTCGGCGTTTACGTATTGGCCGGCTCAGTGTCGAAAACGACGGCAGGTCCAGCAGTTGTTATTTCGTTTATAATTGCCGCAATCGCGTCTATATTTGCCGGTGAGTATGCATTGCAATTAATGGAATTGATTACCGTGAATATATTTCTATCATAAAATTTTGGCCGGGTTCATGCAATCTTAACATACTCAAAATATACAGATCAGAACATTCAAATTTTTCATTTTTTAATGACTAAAATCCCTATATGAAGCAATCTAAAAACGTATCGTTTGAAGTGACCATGAGATCAAAATTTTCACTGTTAATTGAATTATAATTTAATAAAATAAAATTTTAGCATCACAAATTAACAACTTGGCATTAAAAAATTTGCTTGTTTAATCATTCATAGTGTTATTATTATTATTATTTTTTTTTTTCATTTTATTGATTCAACAATTTGATTACAACCAGGGCTGTGTTACGCCGAGTTTGGAGCCCGAGTTCCAAAGGCTGGATCGGCCTATGTGTACAGTTATGTGTGCGTCGGCGAGTTTGTGGCTTTCATCATCGGCTGGAATTTGGTGCTGGAATATGTCGTAGGTGAGCGACAATGCCTTAGGCGACACCATAATTTGATCTGTGCGCGTCTTGGCCCCCAAACTAATGCTAATTACTCAAGGGTCGGCGAGTGTCGTGCGAGGCCTGAGTGGCTACGTGGACAACCTCTTCAATAGCACGATGGCTAAGGCCTTTGACGATTTGCTTCACATAGACGTTCCTTTCCTCTCGCCCTACATTGATTTCTTTGCCTTTGCACTTTCCATTGTGTTTGCTGGTGAGTAAATCGTTTCTGAATTTTTATAGACTCACACAAAAATGTGATCTTTTAAAAATTGTTTGCAAATTGTTAAATTTTAAAATTCATTTCATTCTTCACTTAGAATTAGTTTTTATCGCGGACAAATTTCTAATTTTTTCTGTTCTCGCATTTGACCAGAATTTCCCACTTTCCAGCATATTTTTGTTTATTTAACCTCCAAATTGTGTTCTAAAATTGATAAAAAAAAATTACGCACTGCACTTTCTTAAAAGAGATTAGCCTCAATAAGCTGTTCTTGATCGTGGATTTATTTATTATCAGTTTTAATCAGTTAATTGAAGACAGTTGTAATCCAATTAAGTTAATCTAAAAACAATGTTTACTCTTTATATCTTATTCTAGATTGTTCTTGGAAACTCCTCCAAAGATTTTGAAGGTTAAAAAATTTAAGAATTTCATGGTTGTTGATGTTAATTATTTGCCAATGAAGAATAAATTAATTCTTCTTTTCATTCCCATAATACATTTAAACAGCATTTAAAATAAAGATTTTATAAAAGTCCAAGATCGAGCCGACCTGTCAAATTAAAAAATTTTGTCCTCTGCTGTTAAATACAAATTTTATCTTCATTAAATATTTGCAGTCGCTCTGGCGCTCGGAGTGAAAGAGTCGTCAAACTTCAACAATGTGTTCACCATCGTCAATTTGGCGGTGGTTGCGTACGTCATCATTTGCGGCCTCTTTAAAGGTCGGTGAAAAGAAAAATAGTAGCTCAGCCAATTGAAACTAATGCATTTTTCACGAACAGTCGACATCAAAAACTGGTCCATTGACGTCAACGATATTCCTGACGAGTACAAACCAACTGCCGGAACCGGAGGGTTCGCACCGTTCGGCATAAATGGCATCATCAAAGGCGCCGCCACGTGTTTCTACGGCTTTGTCGGATTCGATTGTGTCGCTACAACAGGTTCGTTAATTTTGGTTGATACGGAAGGTGTAAATAATGCGTTCATATGAAATGCAACCGGCGCCACTGCCGTGCCCGACCGGTTGCATACCCAACGCTATTCAGGCGCCCTGTTTTAGTAAAATTACTGAAATTTGCAGCAAAAATATTACAGAAAAATCAATTAATATATTTGAAATTCGGCATGGTTTGTAATATACTTTCGATCTATAGGCGAGGAAGCTAAAAATCCCCAAAAAGCCATTCCTATTGCCATCGTGGTATCCCTGGCAATTATTACATTTGCTTACATTGGCGTTTCAACAGTGCTTACGATGATGTGGCCATACTACGCGCAGGTGGGGTTGAATAATTTAATAAAGACGGGGTCTCAGAGTGAATCTTTCAGGACCCTGACGCACCTCTTCCTTTTGTGTTTCGTGAAGTTGGTTGGGACATTGCTGCCTGGATCGTCAGCATTGGTGCTATTTTCGGTCTTTGCGCCAGGTTAGTGTTTTCCTTAAGATATCCTTTCATCTTTTTTATTCTATATTTGCAGTTTGATGGGAGCTTTGTTGCCCCTGCCTCGCGTTATCTACGCCATGGCAACCGATGGAATCATTTTCCGCTTTCTTGGAAAAATTCATCCTAGATTCCAAACACCACTTTTGGGAACATTATTAGCTGGACTTTTGACAGGTGGAATATTTATATATATATATATATATATATATATATATATATATATATATATATATATATATATATATATATATATATATATATATATATATATATATATATATATATATATATATATATATATATATATATATATATATATATATATATATATATATATATATATATATATATATATATATATATATATATATATATATATATATATATATATATATATATATATATATATATATATATATATATATATATATATATATATATATATATATATATATATATATATATATATATATATATATATATATATATATATATATATATATATATATATATATATTAGCATCATTTTTCATTTTTTATTACTTTCAAATTAATTCTTGTTTTAAAATAATTGGACTCTAGCATTTTCAAAGGTGAAATTTTAAATAAAATTATTTCTTTATATATTATCAGCCATTTTTGAGTAGGAATTTTGGCCGCCGTTTTCAACTTGCAGCAGCTGGTGGACATGATGAGCATTGGTACTTTGCTGGCGTACTCGATCGTGGCCGCGTGCGTCCTCCTTTTGCGCTACCAGCCCGATGGTGAGGAAATCGAAATGAGCACAAAGTACAGTCACATCGGATTTTTCACCCAGCTGTTCAATCTCAAGAGGATTAAGTCGCCTTCCACATTGTCAGCCAACATAGTCACTTGGGGTGTCATGACCTTGTGTGAGTTTTTTTACGATTGCAATTGCATTCAATATTAAAAAACAAATTTCTGGTAATTTGTTTGACTTTTGTCATTACCGATTGTGAAATACAATAAGTTGATATATTGGTATAGTATTGAAATATTCACATTCTGTAATCATTCAGAAAACAATTTTGACTTTTCCGCACCAAAGACATTTATTTGATTTTAGGAGCCAATATTAATGTCTAGAATATTGTTGTTTATCACTATCAAGAAAAATCATAATGCAAAGTCTGAGCTGTCGATTCTACAAAATGTGTTTTTTCAGGCGTATTCGTGACTGCTTGTGGCAGTGTGCTTACGTTTGCTGAAATTGAACTGTTTGTGAATGGAGAATGGTGGGCGATTCTAATCTTGTCCATAACCGGCGCGCTTTGCGTCCTCAATGTCTTGGTTATTGGCCTCCAGCCGTCATCCAACGCAAAGTTATTTTTCAGAGTAAGTAAAACCAATAATATGTCTTGAACAATATATAGAAATTTATCAAATGAAAAATTACTTCGCAGGTCCCACTGGTGCCAGTGATTCCCGCTGTAAGCATTTTCATTAACATCTACCTCATGTTGATGTGTGGATGCTCGTCGGTAATGAAATTAGATCTTTACGCTGGCCCCTCTTCGACATTCATTATATTTGTACTCTTTGTCAGGTTTTGTAATTTATTTCGCTTACGGCATCTGGCAGAGTGAGGAAAACGCTACTGACAAGAGAAAACGATCAGTGATTTTTGCACACACCAACTCGGCTTACGAAGAGGACGAGAAAAAAAGAAAAAGATCCGACTAAAAACGCACTGATATATTATGTGACTATATTTTGCAACAATTTCTATTTGAAAAATTTGTATTTAATTTTGATATTTAAATTCTTTATAATTTTTTTTAAATATAGTTTAGATGGTAAACTCAATCAGATGATTTTTTCCATGTAATCAGGAAGACATGCAATTAATAAACAATGTGTTACATCGTTTTCAGATCTTTCTGTTCAAGTTTTTTTTTACCGTTTTCAATGACTGCGCGCGTATTAATTAAATGGATCAAAGCGCCAGCAGTGTTTCCAAGAAACTAATATACATGAGTTGCTTGCCATGCAGCGAGACATGCACACAATACAAAGGACAAAGAACGTAAAATTTGGAGCGGAACCTTTGAGAGCGAAGTTCAGCGCGCGTGTGGTAGGACAGGGGGTGGCAGGGGCACATGCGCCGGCCGGCGTTGGGGGCGGCTCGGCGGCCGGCGCGGCTGCTGCCTCCACTCAGTGTTTCTTGGGGAAGCGCCTGCTCCAGCCGGACTGTCTGCCGGCGCCTCATCTCCACTTCTCCGGAGGTGAGTCAAACTTTTTTCCTCTGGAATCGGTGCAAAGTTTTTGAGAAACGCACATTAATTTCTAGACCCCTATCTTTTACTTCTTGCCTCCTTTGCAGTGGTTAATTTCGGTAGAAGCGGGTAGAAGAAGGTATGAAATTTTGTTTTCCTGAACATGAGTGACAAATCGCCCGGCTTTTCCAGTTGAAAATTTTGTTTCTTTTGGTGGTTTGATTTATTATGATTCCAAAACCTGAAATCTTGCTACCATACAGTTTTAAATTAAATTAAATTTTAACATAAGTTTCAGAAATTCTCTAGATGTTTTTGTATCTTATAAGTCAAATTAAAATGCTACAAATTTTCCTTGACAAGACTTGATTAACTAGCAAATTACAAAATAGCATACTTTTTTAGATATTAAAGAAAAATAATTGTAGATAAATTTAACCGCCATAATTTTTTTTCTTTGCATTATTTGATTAAATGTAAGTTAAATTAAAGAGAATTTTATGATAGCTTAATATTAACTAATTTTAAATTTGACACTCCGATGTTTGCATTATAGTTTGTGCAATTTTGAGCAGAATAATAATTTGGTAAAAAAAGATTCCAAATCTCTTTGTTAAAAGAAATTGGCAAAAATTCATTAGTGAAAGGTCCTTGTTAGTTGTTTTAGCCAAATTAACTGCAGAAAGCAAAACGATTCCAGCACCTTTTTTCAAACATTCATAAATTCTCCATTACTGTTTGTCTGTATTATTGATTAAAAAAACCCTCGTGTGCTTTCAGGACAAGTTTGTAAAACTCCTCATCTTGCTACCTGACGTCCACACCATCGCCAGCATAGGCAAGGACTGTCTTTACCAGCACCATTGTGCTAAATCAAATGTATTAAAAATAATGTACAATAAAAATTTTAAAATTAAATGCATTTACTTGAATTTCACTGACTTAAATCCGCATGTTAATAAAATTTCTATACACATGAAATTTAAACTATTCAAAAAGTCAGCATATTTAGTTCTTTTAACTTTAAATTCTAGTGTGAATTATTTTCAGAACTTTGTTAAAATGTTTAAAAAAAAATACAAAATGGTAAATAACACTTTAAAGGGATATAATTATTTATATTTAAGTTAAAGGCGTTGTGGTCCTAACCTAGAAGACAAGAACTCTGGTGAAAAATAAAAATAATGTGACTTATGAAAGAGTGTGACAGAGCACCTCCTATAATCAGATTCTGCTATACTATTCTTTTTACTGGAGACCCTGACCTGGCTGGTCCTGCTCAGCCTGTATGGTAGTTAATGAACATCATACTACAGGAAAAAGGCTGATGCTGTGAATATTTTCTTTCTGCAATTAAAATAATTTTATTAAATATTTAAAGGTAATGATGATGGCAAATAGGAAAGTGACTACAAAGAGGAGGGAAGAGATTATCATTTTAGTCTCATGATGAGTGGAACAAAAATTAAGATTAACTTCAGAAGTTGAAATTAAATGTTAATCAAAATAATTTCACTGCTCACAAATTGTTTTATTTAAAACTAAATTCATTTGCAATATGAAAATTTTCAAAATTTTTACGTGGAATTTTTAATAGAAACCCTCATCATCGTCAGGGTTGTCTGCCGGCATGCTGATGGCCTGGGCCAGCAGGTGTTTTGGCACCTCCGAGCCTCGCACGTGGATGGTGTAGCAGGCGTTCTCCGTCTTCAGCAGACTCTGCCTGAGAGTGTAGCTTTTCCTGCCCATCTCTTTGTACCCAATGCAGTTGGTCCCAAGGAAATGCTTGTAGACCAGTCTGAGGAAAATGCAGAGCTGCTGGCAGGAGTCGAGTTGTCCCATCCCGACGCAGTTGATGCACCTCCGCATCAACTCGCCTGTCAGATCGCCCAGTCCGAGCATGAAGTCCGTCGGCAACATCGGGGTCTGCAATGTCTCGACCACTGCAGGGGTTTCCTCTGAGCTGGGCTCACTCGAGTAGGTCAAATCCTGTTGGATGTCAGTCCAACTTGGAATGGACTTTGATTCCATGTAGCAGCAAAATGTCTTCGCCTCGACATACTCTTGAATTCCTATGTTAACATTTTTTTTTTTTATGTAAACTTGCTGAAATTTTCAACTTTTTTACCTGGACTGAAAGCTCTGATGAACTGGTAAATGTCTTCTCCAGCAAGCTCTTTTGCAATGGGTTGCAGCAAATTCACCTCGACTTGTTTGAGGCGACTTTTCGCTTGACTCAAAATTTGTTCCTTTTTGTCCTCACTGCAAAGTAGCAATTAATGAATATAAAAAAAAAAAATGATTTTAAATGACACTAGGTCATACCTGCCAATTGTGTGGATCAAGAAAATGATCCTTTTGCTCTCAATGGTGACGTCCCTGCTCAATTTTACAAGCCTTTCGTATTTGTCGTGCTTTGCATCGAGTTCCTTTGCGAACTGTCGGAAAGTCTGGACGACCTCAGAGGACTCGTCAACTTCCTCACCAGGGTCACTCTTCACGTCTCTGTGGAATTTTTGGTCATTTCGTCGGCCTCCTCCTCCACCACCTCTTCTATTTCCTGGAACGTAAAAATATGTAACATAAAATTATGTTTAAAACTTACATATTTAAAACTTACATATAATTATGTGCATAATATTGTTTGTCAGATTTTACCTCGATATGACATAGTTTATTTTAAACTATTTATAAAGTGATTTCCTAACTTCCTCACTTAACGATTTCTTTGATCAAAATTGCAGATTGAACATAAATTTAGAGCAATAATCGTACTTTGGACAGAACTATTGTATGTAGTCAGTTTTCTGCGGCTTTTGGCAGGCGTGAAAAACGTAAACAAATAAATGACATTATTTAGTACAAGAACAAGACGACAGAGGGAAGGTGGAGCCGCCGGGAGGAGCCAAAATCACACCAGTCGACAACGTGCAGCGTGCAGCGCTGTTGTAAATTATGGGATTAAATAAGATTATAATTTTTTTTTCTGAGTTTCACTTTTCTTCTCTACTTGACATACAAACTTAAAAATATTATTTCTTGTACAGAATAATTCCCTTATTTAAATGTATTTTACTGTCAACACATGGCATAATGTATAATATTAAATCATAAATTTTATTATATTATTAAGAAATTAATTTATTTTGCTATTTTTAAGGTTAATTATTAATAATCTATTTTATTTATGTAATTCATTTTTTAATTTACATAAGCAAAAACCAAGTATTTTAGTTTTTACGAACATTTTCTTTCAAAATTAATATTATCATATAAATATTTATATGTACGATGTCTGATGTTTATACATAAAAATTTAAATCGCACTAAAATTATTTTTAGTAAAATAACATGAAAACTGCGGATGGGCAAAAATGACAAATTTTGTTGCTGAAAACTTTTTCTTATTCCAATTTATCGACTTTGGAATGCACCGGAATGCACCACCAGCAGACCTAATTAAAAAACTTCAACAGAAATATACTCCTTCAAAAAACAACGCTTATTATTATTATTATTATTTTTTTTTTTAAATAAAATAAAAATGTAATGATTTTTTCTCCAGAAAGATGGGTTGCCGATAATTTCAAATCAAATGAAACTATCCCCTTCAAATGTTTCACTAATATTTTAGTTGAAAAATAAGCCGTTCCAAAGTATTTGACAATTGCTGTATAAAACTATCTACCTTCATTATCTTGTATATTCGTAAATTAAGATTGTAGAGCAATGCCAGATCTTGAAGATAATTTGTATAATTATGTACGCGGTGCCGTGTGCATCACATTTGACAACACACTCTTGGAAAGAAGGAAAATAATTCTAGCGTGGTCTGAACATCAAGGTACACAGTAATAATGAAGCTGCACGCGTATTATCACTGAGAGCGACTGATAAGAAACCCTTTTCCCTCAAATCTAGCTTTGGTTCTCATTGCTGATCCTTCAACGACCATGGCAGTACTAAAACGATTCTATCATGCTCTCACGCGCAGGTAATCTCAACTTATTTAAATAACTTATTTCCGTGGGGTAATTTAGTTTTATTGACAAAAATTAGGCACAGCTTGCAATGAAACTCCAAAGTCTTTTTTGACCTCATTTAAATTAATTATTTGATTTTATATATTAAAATTTTTTATAATATAGCATGGCAATTGATTATTGAAATTTACAGTTATCTGGAATTATTTTAGTCATCATTTACATAAAAATTATTTATTTCGTTATATAATGCATAATTGTTTATTGTAATAATGCTCTGAGTCTGAGTCTCACTTTTACCAAAGTAAAATGGAATGAAAATTAGCTTACGCTAAGAACCAAGAAGAGGTTTTCTTTATTTACTTTCAACATTAAATATTATTTTTCTGTGCTTCTGTCTTTAGAAAAAATCTGCCTGAGAGCATGCAAGCACTTCTGGAAAATTCGAAGATGGCCAGGGTGTTGACCACGTTGGACCTGACGGCTCTCGGCGTCGGCAGCACCCTTGGCGTCGGCGTTTACGTGTTGGCCGGTTCGGTTTCGAAAGAGACGGCAGGTCCAGCAGTTGTTGTTTCCTTTATAATTGCCGCAATCGCGTCTATATTTGCCGGTAAGTACTTGGCGTAGTGCAATTGAGTGACGTTTAGACGAGTTTGTAATTAAGATAAGATTTGACATAATTGTGATTTATCTCTGATTAGCTCTTAATTTAAATTCAATCCCTCGATAATGAGGAGACTTCTTAAGTCTTATTATAATCCAGGACGCAGCGTCAAAATAATTTCAATGCCAATCGAGACTCTTGCAAAATAATAGGCCCAACAAAGTATTTTTTTGTTATTCTGTTTGAAGTGTCCTTTATAGAGATTGTGGCATTCAAGTGTTGTGGTTTTTCATTTACCCTTTCATCTATCTCTGGAAAACAGCACAAAATATTGTAACGTCACTTTCTGACTAATGCTGAGACTTGATGTTAAATATTGTCCCACTCAACGACTCAACTTCTCAAGGCCATGCAAATCTTGTAAACTTTTGCAATTCTGATTTTATCTTTCTCATCTTTTGACACCTATTGGGGTATGAATTGAGTGATGGTCTCGCAGACATCTTATTAAATTTGGGCGAAGGTAATAGTTGTTTGATAAGGATGCTGTGCTTAGTAAAATGATTATCTGATAGGGAATCACAATGGGATGACGCAGGTACTTATAATGTGTTCAAGGGGTTTCATTATTTGAAAAAGTGAACAGGAGAGATGAAATAATTGATTTTGTAGTAGAATTTCACGATTGAGGGTTGATTCATGGTGATTTGAATTAAAAGTCGGCTTTTCCTCGATGAGTTTTGCGAGTTGTTTATTGTTTAAGAAAAAGCAATATCCTGCCAACTTTAAATTCAAATCACTGTAAATAATAAATTGTTTTTTAGGTTTTATTCCTGCACATTTATAGTTTATAAAATAAGCATCACAAACCAACGACATGTGATAATTCAATTGCAAATCTGGAAAATCTGGAAAAATTTGCCTATTTAATAAAATATTTTTGTTCATTTGAATAATTTTAATAAATTATTGAATCACAACTAGGGCTGTGTTATGCCGAGTTCGGGGCAAGAGTTCCAAAGGCTGGATCGGCCTATGTGTACAGTTATGTGTGCGTCGGCGAGTTTGTGGCTTTCATCATCGGCTGGAATTTGGTGCTGGAATATGTCGTAGGTGAGCGACAATTTGATCTGTGCGCGTCTTGGCCCCCAAACTAATGCTAATTACTCAAGGGTCGGCGAGTGTCGTGCGAGGCCTGAGTGGCTACGTGGACAACCTCTTTAATAATACGATGGCTAAGGCCTTTGAGGATTTGTTGCCCATAGATGTTGATTTTCTCTCGCCCTACATTGATTTCTTCGCCTTCGCACTTTCCATTGTGTTTGCTGGTGAGTGAATCATTTTCAAATTTTTATTTTCATGAAATATGTGCTCATTCATAGATTTTGTTTATAATTTTACCAAATTTCAGCTTATTATCAATTATTATTAATTGATGTTCTTTTCTCTCTCTTTTTTTAATTTTTGTTTCTTGTTTTTAATATGGATGAGTTTGCATGTGGGGCAAAGTTGCCCTTGTTTATGAATTGAATGCAATATATTTGCTACTCAATCTTTAAGAAGCAGAATTTATACCTAAATTATTACATTTCATTATGTTTTTATAACAAAAAAAAAAAAAAAAAAAAAAAATACAAATACAAATCCGTATTGTACTCCAAAATGTGGTCAAAATTTGATTAAAGAAAATTACTAATAATAATTACGCACTGTATTCTCTGGAAGAGGTGAACCTCAATAATCATTGAATTCTTCTTTATCTTAGATTTTTACTAAAATATTTTATACGTGTTAAGCAATTTGTTGGAGCCTTATGTAATCCAATTAAATTAACTTAAAACAATATTTAGTTAGAATCCTTTTTATAGCTCTATGGAAACTAATTCATGATTATTCAGGTTGGAAAATACTGAAAATAGGAAGATTTCGTGTTTGTGGAATTGCAAATAATTTTGTTATATTTTAAAAAGGGAAGTAAGAATAAAATAGTTTATTTTGTATATTTCCATATAAGAGTTAAGTTTAAAAAATAACAAGAGACCGATTTGCCCATTTAAAAGTTGTGTTGTTCGCTTCAGGCTGTTGAGAACAAATCTCAACTTCATTAAATATTTGCAGTCGCTCTGGCGCTCGGGGTGAAAGAGTCGTCAAACTTCAACAATGTGTTCACCATCGTCAATTTGGCGGTGGTTGCGTACGTCATCATTTGCGGCCTCTTCAAAGGTCGGTGAAAAGAAAAATAGTAGCTCAGCTAATTGAAACAAATGCATTTTTCACGAACAGTCGACATCAAAAACTGGTCCATTGACGTCAACGATATTCCTGACGAGTACAAACCAACTGCCGGAACCGGAGGGTTCGCACCGTTCGGCATAAATGGCATCATCAAAGGCGCCGCCACGTGTTTCTACGGCTTTGTCGGATTCGATTGTGTCGCTACAACAGGTTCGTTTGTTCTCACGTTAATTTTAAACACGCGTGGTTGATCCGGGAGGTGCAAGTGCAGCTGAACGCGATCGTATGAAATGCAACCGGTGCCACTGCCGTGCCCGACCGGTTGCATACTCCGCGCTATTAAGGCGCTCTAATTGTAGTCAAAGTCAAGCTACATATTTTTTCAACTTTCAACTAGTCAAAATATGTGATTTATAACAGTTGATTAAAATTTAAAATATCAACAATTTTATCAAAAATAATAGTTAGAAATTTTAATAAAAAAATTTATATGAAAATTTTCTTCAAAATGAATTTTAATCTATTCAATTTCATCAGGCGAGGAAGCGAAAAATCCCCAAAAAGCCATTCCAATTGCCATCGTGATTTCCCTTGCGATTATCGCATTTGCCTATATTGGAGTTTCAACGGTACTTACACTCATGTGGCCGTACTACGCGCAGGTTGGTTAAAATAATTTAAATTAAGGCGGAGGCTGCAAAGTAAAACTTTCAGGACCCTGATGCACCTTTACCTTATGTGTTTTTCGAGATTGGTTGGGACGTTGCTGCGTGGATCGTCAGCATTGGCGCTATTTTCGGTCTTTGCGCAAGGTGGGTGTTTTCCACAGGATTTACCGGGATTTACTGTGATTTTTACTGTACTAATTTACGATTCTTTTACCTCATTCTATTTATACAGTTTGATGGGAGCTATGTTGCCCCTTCCTCGCGTCATCTACGCCATGGCCAACGATGGAATCATTTTCCGCTTCCTTGGAAAGATCCATCCTCGATTCCAAACACCTCTATTGGGAACTATATTGGCTGGACTTTTGACAGGTAAAATTATTTAATTATTTATTCTCGATGTCACAGTTTTTCTAATTTTAATTTAGAGACGTACTGATTTTGAAATGTTAGCGTAAGTGATAAAAATATAAAGATGCAAAATACTCAAGTCGACATAAATATAAATTAAATAATAATTTTTTGTACTAAAGAACAAAAAGTATTTTCAGAGAAAACCATATCTCCCTCGCAGTTTTACATTTCAACTTCAGTGTTGTTGAAAGCTTTTTAGAAATAATTTAAATCATCTGAATATTTCGTTTCAAACAGGATTTTTGGCCGCCGTTTTCGACTTAAAGCAGTTGGTGGACATGATGAGCATTGGTACTTTGCTGGCGTACTCGATCGTGGCCGCGTGCGTCCTCCTTTTGCGCTACCAGCCCGACGGCGAGGAAATCGAAATGAGCACCAAGTTCAGTCACATCGGATTTTTCACCCAGCTGTTCAATCTCAAGAGGATTAAGTCACCTTCCACGTTGTCAGCCAACATAGTCACTTGGGGCGTCGTGACCTTGTGTGAGTACTTTTCCAATTGCATTCATTCATCAGCGCGCTTTAGTAAACTGGCATCCTTTCCCAGTAAACCCCGCGTGCAATTAAAAACGGACTTTCTCTAATTACACTTGTTGCAAGTTGCAACATTATTAAAGACGCACCACTGGTAAATTTGTTGTTCCTGATTGTAAAAATGAAACAAGTTATTATTGAAAACTTTCAAAAGGTGGACCGCCTTTCCTCTCCGTAAGGAATTCATCCGAAAATTAGGAAATAGGCCGAGAAAATCGGAATTCATCCAGAAAATAGTTGTTTAAAACTGCAATAAAAAAATTTGCATCTTTAGGGTTGAAAGCATTATTTTGCCTTTTCTCGCCAATAGCTTTTAAATATCAGAGTCAATATTTTTGTTTATGCGAATATAATGAAGTCAGAATTTACTGCCTTCAAAAGCTGGCCTACAAAAAAAGCCTTTGGTTCTACAAGGAGAGACTCGCATTATATTGTTTTAATGTTAAATTTTTAAACTACCATCACTAAAGAAATGTATCGGTGTTGTCCGCTATAAAAATTAGAATATTTCAAATCAATTATTTTTATTGTTTATTCTCCTCAAATCTTAAAAAAATCTTATTATTTTGTATTATTATATTATTGTTCTATGTCTATAAAATATTATATATCGTTTTTATTTACATTACAGTGGTAATTGTGATTGCATGTGGCAGCGTCATTAAGTTTGCTGAGATTGAAATTTTTGTGAATGGAGAGTGGTGGGCTATTCTTCTCTTGTCCATAACCGGCGCCCTTTTCATCCTCAATGTCTTGGTTATTGGCCTGCAGCCGTCATCCAACGCAAAGTTATTTTTCAGAGTAAGTATAACCAATAATAAGATTTGATAAAGCAATTTATCAAAAAAAAATTACTTTGCAGGTCCCACTGGTGCCAGTGATTCCCGCTTTGAGCATTTTCATCAACATCTACCTCATGTTGATGCTCGACGAAGCGACGTGGATCAGATTCGCCGTGTGGATGCTCGTCGGTAATGAAATGAAATAAAAAACTTTTCGCTGCATCCTTTTTGAAACTCATTTGTGGTACTCTTTGTCAGGTTTTGTAATTTATTTCGCGTACGGCATCTGGCAGAGCGAGGAAAACGTTGCGGACAAGAGAAAGCGATCAGTGATTTTCGCTCACACTAACTCGGCTTACGAAGAGGACGACGAGAAAAAAAGAAAGAGATCCGACTAAGCACGCGCTGAACCTGCCTTCAATACTTAATTAATATCTTGTAAATATTATATTAATAAAAATTAATAAAATTTGCAACAATTCTGCGTTCATCTTTTAAATGCAAAATTTATACTTTTTTTTGTATAAATCAGTCAATACATATTTTTTATTCTTTTAGTTTAAAAACAAATTTACATTCGCATTATTCAAACTCGGTTTATTTGATAAACTGTAACCATGCACCGTGAGTCAAATGATAAAGTCCACCATACGTTGAAGGACAGCGTCAAACCATTAGGCGGTGCGACATCATTTTCCCATTTCCATTTGGATCACCAAAACCCATCAATCCGCTCTGTGAAAATGAAAGAGGACTATTTTAATTACGAGCAAACAACGACGAGGCTTAGCACGACACATCAGTTCTCTGCAATCAATATCCACGGCCGCTTCGCTTCATATGAGTTTTGAAACTTTTTAATAATTAATTTTATTTGTTTCCCATATTCTTGGAACTCATAATTGTTATTACTTTCCAACTTAAGAAGCTCTGCAAAATGTATACTTTGAATCAAATACGCCTTAACTACTTGCGATTTGAAACCAGGCCACGCAGCTGGAAATTGGCATTCACGCTGTGTGAATTTCGTTTTGAGACGCGCAGAAACGAATGATTCCGCGCGCGTCCTCCTTATTTCCCTATATACAAATTTCCACGGCCGTGAGGTCGGCACATGTTTTATTCAAAGGTTCGTCGTCGAAATGTGAAATGTGTCACGGGGTGTATAAAACATCTGGCAGATGAGAGTAAGAGAGAAAATTCACCTTGCCATGAATTCCATTGACACGTTCCGTCTGTGCATTCAAAAAGGGCGAGCTTGTCAAGTCGAGTCTTTGCGCTTCACGCAAGTCAATCAAAGTGCAGCTGCAAAAGCCTAATGCACTTTCATACAAGAGAGGTTGCTGCAACTGCAATGCAACACGCCTGCTAAAAGTGGAACTTTGCAGCTACATGTAAAACGAGATGAATCGCTTTTCACTCTCACCTTCAAAAGTATGAATTGCGAATGAAAAAGGAGTGCAATTCCACATTTTTAAATATATAAATTCAATAATCATCTTTACTGATCTTCACATGGATAATATTTGATTTTGTCCTATTTTGGTTCTGCAAAGGATGAGAATAATTTTTTGTTTTTACTTAATCTAAAATATATCAATTTATTGAAAAACCTGATTTTTTATATTTTTATTATTGTTATAAAGATATTTCTTTGATTGAATTTAATCAAAAATAAAAAAAAATTATTTCCGTGATATCTGGGGCTCCATTTATCTTTGAATTTTGACAAAACATCAAATTTTACATTTTTTCTAGCTAATAGACTGCTTGGAAATAAAAAATATTTTTAAATAAATTTTTTTTAGATGAAGAGAGCATTATTATTAATAATTATTAAAATAGAAACCAATCTATTATTTTTTTCTTTTTTGAATTACGAATGTCAGGGGAGTCTTCCTTTTTTGGATTAATATTATTATTTATTGTAATAATTTCCCCAAAACATTAAAAAATTCCTGCAAACAACATCAAGTTAAGTTTTGAATTTCAAAATAATGTGTTTTACTTGCGACAACGGTGAGCAATTTGGTCTCGGCATTATTTGGGGTGCGGTGTTGGATTTCGCCAAGAAGAGAATGACTTGAGCTAAGGGGATTCTTCGAAACGCAGTTTTGTAACGCAATCGCTCATCCAGGCTGCGAGATCTAGAGTTGCACATACACAGAATGCGTGGGCATTCAGAGGTGTACCATTTGCTCACCCCAGAAAAAGCAACTTGCTCTCTGTTCTGATCGAAAAGTGGAAGAAGTATATTTCAGGAAATTTTCCACGAGGGTCATTAGGCACTATGCAAAGGGAAAACTCCACAATCAATATTTGCATTTTGTGAAACAGAACCCACAAACGAATCACCTCACAATCGTCTGCAGTTACCAAGGCGACACATTTTCTTTCAATCACAACTCGCACGGAATATCGTTTTTCATTCTTTGCGCTAATCGCACGCGTGCAGCAGCTCAAAGGAGTTTTTATATTCGCGTCGTCGTCGGGATAATCAATTTCAATTCCCGTCAGAGGAAGGCGAAATCAAAAAGCTATCACGCGGAGGAGTAGATATATGTTGAGCAAGCAACGGAAAAGGCACAACACACACGCCGGCCTTGGATGTCGCCGGCGACAATCTTTATCACTCTGTATCAAGATGCGAGTCGCTTTCTGATGCATCGCGATTCACCGCGCGTTATCTCTGTCGCCATGCAAATGATTGATTTCGATCGATACGCTCAACTTTGGCAGAGTGGAAAGCACAACATCAACTAGTTTTGCGTGCGACATGCGGTCCCAGCTGCTCATTTGCACTCGCGTCGCGTCCCTGGTAATTGTCATATTGTTGGCGCAGGTAAGTGCGCTTTCGGCAAATACGCCGCCCGAAACCGGCACATCAATTTTTTATGTGACATATGCGACCTACTAATGATTGCACTAACAATTCCAACTAAATAAATAATTATGCAGAAAATTTAAAAAAAAAATATTATATTTGTTCAGCATATGTATGCAATTTTATTAGTTTTACAACATAATTATATAGTTTTGATTACAATTAATTTCCCTGTGGAATATTTAACAGAGGGAAAGCTCTGGTGAATACAATTAATTGATGGGATTTGTAACAGGTTCATAGTATTGATGACGACGCACGTGACCTGATCGCAGATCTAAATTTTGCTCTCAACAACACCAAAGTAATGGCGGATTTGGTTGATTCGATGCATTTTAAACTGACTGATTTGCGAGAAATGCTGCACAAAGACGTGACTTATTACATGGCGGCGGTGATCGATGGGCTGGATACATTAGGGGTGATTAATTTTTTGTAATTTATCCCCCAAATTATTTCAGTTATTTGCAAAAATCCATGAATCTAAAACTTGAAACTCTTGCATCTAATTGCCAGTGTAAATATAAAATTTCCGGAACAGTTTTATACAAAGAAAAAAATGTAAAATTTTTAGTAATATTTTTTATATATTCTACTTTCTTTGATAATCTTAATTTTCAATTGCAAAGTTTTTAAACTTTTTACTATTCATCTTCATTTGGACCATTTCAGGTTCCACAAAAATAAAACAGAACCAAAATTTTTGAAGATTTTTAGAGTTGATATGTATATTGATGTATTTATTGGAGAAATATAAAAGGAAAAAGTTTAAAACTATTAAAAATAAATGGTTTAATAACACTGGGAATTATCCCATAATTAGGTTAATAATTTTTTGGAATAAATGTATAATTTTTGGCATTACTGAAGTAATGCGATTATGTGAAACTTATGATATAATATAATAAACCGTAATAAAAAATAATTAATCACAAAATTCACTTTTCAACATTTTATGTTTTGTTATATCGGATTTTTTTATTTCCTCTTTTATTTTTGAAACAAGAATGTTTTAAAAAAAACCTTTTTTATTTACTAATTTAGAATTAAAATAAATCCAGCCTAAACTTTTGCAGGTGGTTCCAAGCCAACTGCTAAGTTTGCAAGGCCACACGGCTGAAGCTCTGTTGACCTCCGAAGACCTTCTGGCCGTTCTGTTGCCTCGTCTGATTAATTACCGGGCCTTGCTCGGCCACATTAACGAGCATTTGATCTCGGACGTCGCCGCACTGAAACACGGCCTGACTAAACTCATTGAGGACACAGAGCAGCTTATCTCACTTCTCGACTCAGCCATCGACGCTCTGTTTTCTCGGTACGATCTGCTTAGGGAGATTATCCTCGGATTGGCGCAACCTTTCGTTAGTATTCGCCTACTTTTTCCCGTCCTAGGTTCTCGCGTGCCGAGGTTTCATTTAAGAAAAGCGGTCATTAAAAATACGGAGTTGGATAAGTTGACCAATTTTAATTAAAGAATGGAATTGAAGTTATAAAAAACGGAAAAAAAGTTGCAATTTTGTAACAATACAATTACTTAAATCTGATTTAAGTTGTGAAAGTAAGGAATCTTCGGCACATACAATCGTTTGTAGTATTTAATATTTTTTCAAACTAATTTGGAAAGTTTTTGTAAGCGCATAATTAAATTTTAAAACAGCAGAACTAAAAATAATAAAATGAATTTTTTGGTTAGTGAAAAATAATCATACTTTTGCACATTCTTTCAGAGTGAAGAGGAATTGGAAGAAATCGAAGACTTGATGAACAAGACATATACAATATTGACTGACTCTTACACAAGCACTTCCTTGGACAAGCTTGCGTTTGTATCGCGATACTCGGACGCTGTTACTTTTATTCGAATGTATGTTTCACAAATTCACAACCCTTACTAATTTCAAAGAGATGAAAGAGTTTCAATAAAATAAAATTGTAAGGGAAATATATTTAAATACTATCTTTAATAGAACCTTTGTATATAGAATTTTCTTATTAGAAAGATGGGAAAATTGCAAACTCTATATTTCACTTAACAAATCATCTGTAGTAGAAAGTTTATAGATATGCACTTACAAATTTGTTTTCAGAATTGAACTTACTTTCAAGCAAGGAAAAACTTTTGTTTGTGCTTTATAATTAATACCATTTAAGTTTGAGTTCGCAAATTGCTTTCCTTTAATTGAAATCTGATTTCATATGTGCATTTTACCATTTCCTCTGCTGAACAATTGCGCACAAAGCTTGGAGGTTGTGAAGAAACGAGGTTAATTTTACGGATCGCTTCTTATTGAATTAAATTGGCTCGCGGCTATGCGCTTGCATACGACAGCTAGACGGTAATTGCGAAGAAAAAAACAGCAATGGGCAATGATGTGAGGTGCAAAATCTCTAGAAAGAACGGCGGGTTTACTCTCCAATGCACTAGCCTGATTGCAGCCCCTTTTCGTAACAACGCATGCATACCCTTGGGACGGAGGAGGAAAGGAAATTGATGGCACAGGTGCATCTCAACCATTCATGCTTTTAATTAATTCAGTGGACTCAAAAGAGATCGCGTGGGCGAATGTTTACGTTTAAAGGTGGAGTGGTGCCTTCCAAGTTTAGTTGGCGCCTATTGAGAGAGACAAATTAATCATTCCGGAAAGAGGTGAAGTGTTATTTAGGTCTGTTATTTCTATTTGTATACATCAACATGTGAATATATTATTATCTCAACTTCCATTAGCTAAATATAAAGAGAGTTGATATTTTTTTTACTTAATTAACTGTAAAAGAACAAAAATTATATTGTCTCTATTCTATTTACGTTAAATTTTTAAAATAATACTCATGCAAAATTGTAGCTTATTAGGTTCTAACCGAGGAAAATTTGTCCCCATTCACAAACTAGTCCATTTTTAAAATGATTTATTGTTTATGGAGATACATAATTCAAAGTCATACAAAGCTATACAAAAATTTACTTGTGGAGGAAGATAATAAAAATTTATATTCTACTTAATTATTTCTTTACATTAGATGAAAAGTCCTCCCTTAAATTTTATGATGTAAACAGGAAGACATGAATAAAATCAATCAATAAGTAACATGGAAAGGCAACATCACGCACAATTTTTTTTTTTTTTAAATAAGTGGCACTCTTTAGAAATGTGAATGTTCTAGCTCTTTTGTTGAACTCCAACCGCCGTTTTACTTTCTGCCGCCATTAGCTGTAGCACCCGAGATACGCGACGTGCATATCAACCAAGAGCTGATTGGAAAAATCGGCTTAGCGACCCGCATGCTAAACAGCCGAGGAAGAAAAAAGGCTTTGTCCCGACCGCACACAAAGGGACAAAGATTAACCATTTCCTCGGCGGACATAAAAAAAGGCAATTCAAGTTGTTTAATTGCGAGTCGGGAAAAGTATGAGAAACGTAAATTAATCCTCAGCTGCAGGAGAAATTTTGCGGAGGTTTAAAAGTGGGAAATTAATATACGGCGGGGCGTAAAATTTGGAGCGGAACTTTTGAGAGCGAAGTTGAGCGCGCGTGTGGTAGGACAGGGGGTGGCAGGGGCACATGCGCCGGCCGGCGTTGGGGGCGGCTCGGCGGCCGGCGCGGCTGCTGCCTCCACTCAGTGTTTCTTGGGGAAGCGCCTGCTCCAGCCGGACTGTCTGCCGGCGCCTCATCTCCAGTTCTCCGGAGGTGAGTCAAACTTTTTTCCTCTAGAATCGGTGCAAAGTTTTTGATAAATCGGCCGACGCACATTAATTTCAAGCCCCTTATCTTTAACTTCTTGCCTCGTTTGCAGTGCTTTTCGGCAGAAGGGAATGCATTTTTTTCTACTGTCCTGACAAGAGTGACAAACCGCCCGGCGTTTTTGGTTGAAACTTTTGCACTCGCTAAGCTTGTTTTGGTGGTTCTTATGCTTCAAAAACTTTAAATGGATCCTTCGCTGTCGCACAGTTTTACAGAAATACGAGTGAATAAGTGAATTACATAAATTTAACTGAAACTTAAAATTCTTAAAACTTGATTCGAAATATTTTTCAGTTCATTTCAAATTTAAAATTTTGGCGTATTAATTGAATGAGAATATTTAGAGAAAAATCAATAATTTGCTAATCGGTTCTCCGCCGGCGCTCTATTTTTGTTGCTCTGAATGATAAAATTTTGATTTATTTTAGCTTTTAGCAGCAAATTTGGAGTTGAAAAAGTATCTCCTAAAAGATCAAAATGGTACGTTTTCAAAATATATAATTGACATGCATTTTGAACTTTGTTTCTTTTGATTCGTTCTTAAAAGTTGGCGACGTTCAAAGAAGGCAATCTGCGCTGTCTCTCTCTGGAGCACATCTTGAGGCTAATTATGTTGTAGACCTCGCGGCGATCAGAAAAACGAATCTGCCTCTGCTGCGACTAACGAAGCACATTTCTCAACAGCCTTCTTGTTTATTCCGCTTTCGGTCTTGGCAAACTCACTCGGACTCTTATTTTAAACGAATTCTTGGTTCGCAAAACTGATGTGGGTGGCTATGACCGTCCGCCGGCGGCATGATATGCGGGTTGTGATTATTTTCCTTAATGAGATGTGTTGCTCTTAAATGACTAGCAAATATGTAGAAATTCTTCAAGAGATTTAAATTTAATGCCCAGGAAATTGAACCACTTGATTCTATAAAAGAAGTTCAATCATACTTTTTGATGTGAAAATATTTTTAGAAACAAGTCCCAAGATCAAAATATCAATTTTACACACGCCATTTACACTTTTTTTTATATTTTTTTAAATCAGTAAAACTAGAATTTGCATTTGTTATTTAATTTGATGACGAGAATTCATTAAAACGCAAACAGAACAGTCCAGAATGAAAAAAGAAAACAGAAATTTAGTAGGTTAACCACATTTTGCATGCTTGTCCAGTCCTGAAACACTCCACAAAAATGCTCACAGCTGCACCAAAAAAGCTTGTGCGGTGACATCAAAGCTTTATGCGGTCAGCAAAATGTACCACAAAGTGAAAATTTCCGCATAAAATGGCTCCTCGAGCGCTAAAATTTAGTGCGCGGGGAGCAAGTTTTTGCAAAAATATTTTTCTTGCCTTCTCTCTTTTGATAAAAAAGAAATATTACAAAGCCTTTCTGATAGTCCTGTTGAGAGAGGAACGATTGTGAGTCTATATAAAAAAGATCGAGAGGAGCTTGCATATCAGAACAGGTCCCTGAGGCCTTCCTCGTGAATGCCTTGAAACTCTTTTATTTATGTGCCCAGCCAATTTAGTTTTATTATGTGGACCAGGGCAGCGATCGCAAATAGCTATTTCTATTTCAGAGCGACGCTTTTGTACTCTTTGTTTTGAAAACGAGTCGTGCATCCACATTTGCACAAACAATCGCTGGGAAATGACAATTGAGTAAATATGTCAAAAATCATAATATCGACTTCACGTGTACAGGAGGAGAGAAACGTTTGTGATTTGGAAACTACGATAAAAAATAATTTGCTTGAATTTATCATTTTGTTTGCCGAATCCTTGCCATTGTTATTGAGCAACGTCTGTGGTTTTAAAAGAAAATTAAAATGTAGAAAACTTTTCTTATGAAACGTTACTGAAATAAGTTATTTACGAGTATTGCTCGATATTTCCAGCTCCGATATAGAAGTCATGCAAGTTTCATTCTTAAAATAACGCACGACTTGCGAAAGAATCGTCAAGGATGAAAATATCAATCATAAATCGGACGCCGGCGTGCCGCAGTTCCATCAATGCATGTTTTATATTTTATGCCGTTACATGCAAAGAGCGAGTCCTGCATACATGTTCCTTTCCCTTCAGCATGCATTTTTGTTGAACAAGCACAAAAGATAAAAACCAACAGACATGTGACCGCAATGTTTCCAGTTTCCTTATAATTAATTAATTAAATAAACACTTTCACTCATAAGAGTTTACAATTTTTGCCGTAAAGGTTTTTTCTTTATTTTAAATTTATTTTTTTTCTGCATAAAAATTAGACAGTAAAAAATATAAGTAAAAAATGGCTTTAATTAAAAATTCTATTATTGAATCAGAGCATGAAAAGAAATGTGAGCTTTTGAGTGTTTAAAAAATACAAATATTAACTGTCTGTGAGGAAACACTTCAAACAACCCATTCAAACTCCACGTAAAAATTGTCACTTTATCTATGGCTTTTTTCGGTTCTCAAAACATTTAAATTTATTTTTAATCAAGCCACAGGTTCGGCATCACATCATTTATCCCGAGTTGTTGAGTTTCGGCTCAATTGCCACCGCACATTCAAATAAATAGTCTTTGAATAGGGGCAATATAAATAAAGAGGTTGGTACGTTCAAAACGCCTACAGTGTGTGTAAAAAACCTGCTTTCATATGTGTGAGAGCACAAAAGTTTTTTGCCAGAAGCGGACGGACGAGTGCAGGCCCATTATGCTTCATTCAGAGTCTGTGTTGGTGGCTGCAAAAGTAATATTATACTGTATAAATCTATGCAATAGGCATTGTTGTTGAGTGCAACTAGCCCTTATTTAATTTAAAAAAGCGCCAACAGAATGATCAAGTTTCGCAAAAAGAGAAGTGGATGGAAATAAATGGTTGCTATTCACATATATTTATATCAATGTTTATTCTTCTCAAATATTCTCCATTCAATTGATACAAAATCAGCAAGAAGATATAAATGAAGGATACAGGAAAAACTGAATACACATATATCTGGAACAAATTTATAAACATAAGAATTTTAATTGAAATGCAATTATTACTTAATATTTGGCACCTCAATTTTGCTTCAATAACTGAGTCTTTAAGTCAAATTATGACCTCGAGTTATTCTTGGTGTAGATCGATTTTATTAATATGCTTATTTTTTTATTGAAATTAGGGTGATTTATAAGGTAATGAAGAGACTGCATGCATAATGAATGTTCAAATTTTTTA